GCTATATGATTTCCATGTTTAATCCATGTAGATAACTGTTGATGTGGATGAAGATCCAAGGGCTGCTTATTTCAGACAAGCTAAGAATGGTCTTTATATTCGGATGGCTCTTTTGAAGCTTCTACTTCTTGGTTGGTGACAGATACAAAAACATTTTATATCCGGAATATTGCGAACAATGTTTATTATCCATGTGTGTGTGGATTCTGAGCTCATTGTAGAATTTAAGAGTTGTGTTAACTTGTCCGAGCAAAAAAATATTTGGACCTCTGTCTTTATTCATCTTTTTTTCCTCAGAATGTCTACTTTTACATCTCTATGTTTTGGTACGTAGTATGGTCAGTCATATCAATAGCCTCATTTCCTCTTCACACATTCATTGCCTTAAATAGTGATAACTATGCTACTAATCATCCTGTTGGAATACAGTAACAGGTCAATTTTGTTAGAGTTCACAATCCATTTAGTTTGTTGTATACAGAACTATCTTGGTCCTTTCTGTTTTCTATTTCTCTTGTTTTGGTTTTCTATTGGTTAGTTTTTCTGCGTGAGAAGCTGTATTAGTAGGTTCATAAAAACTTGCTGGAGATGTTCCAATGCTTTGGAACATGTCATATGAAGTGAATGGAGTTGAGGCATTTGTTATACATCAAGTTCATTTCATAAGTGCAAGCAACTGGGGTCAAGGTTTGGCATCCTATAGGAGGTTCTCATTTAAAACATCAACTCAAAATACTTCTAAAACTGTTATACTTGAGAAGCTTTATTGGGAATGTCAGTGCTGTTAAAATCTTCTTTGTCGTGGGGATTAATGCTTTGCAACAGTGATGACCCCATGCCAACAGACCATGATTGAAGTGGTTTTGTTTGGTTGAAATGAAGGTTTGAAATCCCAAAAACGAAATGGTATCGCAGAGCTTATACAACAACAGGAACAACGTCAAAAACAACTATTGCTCCTCAATCACAATCAATTTGGGGTCATCTATATGAATCCTCGTTATTCATGTCGCTTCATCTTATGGGAAAAACCCAAAATGTGAGATAGTATCGCATAGCTTATCTTGTGGGAAAATAATAGCTTGTAGAGTTTCTTCTCTTTATACAACAAGTTTAAGTGGTATCTGTAAGCCTTGCAAGAATTGATGCCCATTGGTTCTTGAATTCGTCTTCAATGCCAAAATATTAAACTTATCCTTGCAGTTGAGTTGGCATATATTTGGTACCTTAAGTTGTAACTTTTTCAGTTTACATTGTATTTTATAAAATATTTTCTTAATTACCTTTTCATTTTTACATTCTTCTTGATCAAATTTAAGTTGTATGCTATATAGATGTCATGAGTCTCGTGACATCCTACTGGATACATGTTTTTTGTTTTTTATTTTTTTCCCTTTCTCCGTAAATAAATTATAATTTCAAATAATAAACCGCTCAACTTTCGAAAAGGGTAAAATCTCATTACATACTATTCCATTCGTTTCAATTTATGTGAACCTATTTCCTTTTTAGTCTGTGCAAAAAAGAATTACCCCTTTTCATATTTGGAAACAATTTACCTTTATGCAATGATTTATAGCCACACAAAATAAATGTGTTTCATTTTACACAACAAGTTCAAAAGTTTTTTTTTTTTTTTTTTTTT